TTTCCTTCCATGAGGAGAGAGCCCCGCTGGCGTAACATGCTCGGTCTTTGTCCACACCTTTGCTGATGTGATTGATGAATGTGGAAGGAGAAACAAGGCGTGTGTCACCCAGCCCTTTCCTTCCCTCTCCCTGGGGGACTGGCCTGCCTGCAGAGAGTATGTGTTCTGCTTGCTACACCACACCTTACCTTGAACGCCGCAGGGATGGCCCCAGCCCAGGGTTGGGGGAGGGGATTACAGTTTTACAGCACTGCCCATGACTGCATAAAGTCTACCTAATTCTGAGGTTTAGTATTAGGAAGCCCACTCTCCTATATCCAAACTCTTGTTGCGACACCCGCAAAACCACAATTACACAAAAGTACACTTATTCTGTAGATTTATTCATCATCTGAAGCAGACAGTGGTTCTCAACCCAGAATATTTTTGCCTCCCAGAGGGACATTTGATAGTAGTCTGGAGACATTTTAGATTGTCACAACCGGGGAGAAAGGGGCGACTACTCTAGCATCTTGCAGGTAGCGGCTAGAGATGCTGCTAAACACCCTATAAAGCTCAGGACAACCCCCAACAACACAGAATTATCTGACCCAAGATGTCAATAGTACTGAGGGTGAGGAACCCTGCTCTAAGGGAACAAATTACCATCTTGGACCAGCTGAAGTGACTTAGTCCCACCAAGTCCAAACCAGAGAGGAACTGGACCAGGACGACCATCTAAGACCAAGCACCTCGGTCCCCTCATCCCTGCCATTGTGCCTCCAAGCACCGCCGACCCACTCTGGAGCACCCAGAGCCCTTCACAAGCATGCGATGAGGCTGCCGCCAGCCCTTTTGCCCTGTTGTCCTTCCCAGGCGCGGTGATCCGGGTGGGAAGCAGGCCGGTGGGGTCCTCTCCTCTCAGATCCCCAAACCCCGCCATGGAGCTGTATCCGTTGGCCTCATCCACCCCAGGGTGTGGCCTTAGAGTAAAACCAGGTGCAGGGCCCACACTGGCACCTCACTGATGCCCCCTCCCCAAGTCTCCGCTTACCCGGGCCGGGCAGATCTGTTTCCAATGATGTCCTCAAGCCTGGCTCTGAGCTGGGTGTGGGGCTGGTGGGGTGCAGGGGGAGGACTTTCCCATTAGACCTTACACCCTCTTTATATAAATAAACATTTAGTAACACCTCCCTTACTCTCCTGAAATGACGATCATAAATAACATGGCTTCTCATGCACTTAATTTTTTAAAATCACAATATAATGCCTAAGCTGTACTAGGGAGAAAAAATAGAAGGAAACCAATTTATAACCAAATAACATATTTCAATATGTCAGTGCTCAGAGCCCATGACACTAGAAAACATAATGAAATGCCAGATGCTTGTCCCCGCTTATAATAAACAATTTTATTTAAATCCAATAGTATTTAAGAAAAGTAGAAGATTGGAAATTATTCTGTATAAGGACAAAAATAATTAAAAGAGCAGAGATGTACTGTCAAATACTACAATAAATATTATTTTAATCTCTGTGGGTTTTTTTAATTTTGGGGTGTTTGTTGTTTGTTTCGAGACAGAATCTCAAAGACTCTGAGTGCAGCGGTGTCATCGTAGCTCACTGCAACCTCAGACTCCTGGGCTCAAGTGATCCTCCTGCCTCAGCCTCCAAAGTAGCTGGGACTATAGGCACATACCACAATGCCCAGCTAATTTTTCTATTTTTTTTAGTAGAGACTGGGTCTCTCAGAGTGCTAGGATTGCAAGTGTGAGCCACCATGCCTGGCCAATCTTTGTTTTTTTAAACTGCGAAAACGGATTCCCTTTTGTAGTCTGTACATGTAAGAGGAAATCAGGTTCTGGGCTGAGATCATGGTGACAGGGTTTTCACCAACGTGAACAGCTGCTCCTGCCCATTCAATGGCAGCAGTGCCCCCCAATCATTGTGAAACCAAAACACATCCCCCCACATTAAATCATGCACATACAATCTCCCTTCCCAGAACCACTGAGTCAGTGCTTTAAATATTAACCTGCCAAGTGGGTAAAAATCCAACTGTACATTTGGAAGAATATATACCAAAATATTAAAGGTGATTTTCCAAGGCAGAAGGAGAATTACAGGAAACATTCTCATTCTTATTTTATATTTTGGAGACAGGCGGTCTTGCTATATTGCCCAGGTTGGTCTCGAACTCCTGCCCTCAAACCATCCTCCCGCCTCAGCCTCCTGAATAGCTGGGAGTACAGGCGTGAGCCACACCGCCCGGCTTTTTACATTTCTGTATGGTGTAAAATTTTGCTTACAGCCCACTTTAACTTTGCAATCAGAAAAAAATGACAGCTATTTTGGAAAACGATGACTCAGGGCTCCCTCTAGCGTGCGTGTTTTCTTGTTCTTCTCAAGGAGGATTCAAATCTGCGGTGGGGAAACCACTAATTCGCTTTTTCAGACTCACCAGGGCTTCAAGTCCAGCCTTGGGGCGCGGCCCAGCCTTGCTTCGCTCAGCTGTGCCCGCACCGCCTCCCTGTGGCCAAGGGCGGTACGGCGCCCTCCGGAGTCGATGGCGAGGGAGGGACAATGGGCCCTGCCCTAGGGGCCCTAACCTCTGTACCACCGACCACGTGGCAGTTCGGGGAAGCTTACGGACTCCCCCTCTCAGAATAATGGCCCATAAATATATAAATAAAACACATATGCTTAAAAGTAATAACAGTGAAATGGTTATCAAACTATTAAATATTTATAGTTGTGTAATACCGTAATAAACGTGCTTCGTTATTAATGCTTTAAATAACCAGCTCCAGTGGCAGATCTAACAACTAACGATTTTCCAAGCAGTGCGGAGCATACGGGGTATTTGGAGATATGGGCAATCACTTGATATGGGTTGTTTGTTTTGTTTTGTTTGTGGTTTTTGTTTGTTTGTTTGTTTGTTTTAAGAGACAGGGTCTCTCTCTGTCGCCTAGGCTGGAGTGCAGTGGGGCGATCATAGCCCACTGCAGCCTCAAAATCGTGGGCTCAAGCGATCCTCCTGCCTCAGCCTCCAGAGTAGCTGGGACTACAGGCGCGGGCCACCACGCCCACCAATTTTTTTGTTGTTATATTTTTTCTTTTTTCTTTTTGTAAAGATGGGGACGGCTCTCAAGCGATCCTCCCACCTCGGCCTCCCAAAGCCCTGGGATTACAGGCGTGAGCCACTGCGCCTGGATTTAGGATTTTTGCTGGTAACAAAGTTCCGGGTACTGCTAACACTACACTCCTAACGGAAAAGCTAAATATAACAGGTTTGTGAAAGTCAGTATGTTAACTTTTTCTCATCCGAATTCATGGACTCCCTGAATTTTACTCACAGAGCCTTTGGGGTGCATGGACCACAGGTTGAGACCCCTGGAAGGGGCGGAGTTGGGGAGAGGTTTGGATGGGTTGTCAGGACGAGGAGGTCGGCAGCAGCGCTGGCGCCTGGGCGCTCAGTATACGGAAGGCAGAGAAACCTTCTGGCAGGGCGTGCAGAGGGGTGACCCGCGGGGCCCCTCCCATCCCTTCCGCGTCCTCCTGGAGGAAATTAAAGCCCCCCGTGGCCGGGAGGGGAGCTCACAGTTCCTGGCGTCTCCTCCCGCGGTGTCCAGCGCCCACGATGCGGCCTCTGGTCCTGCTGTGGGGCTGCCTGGTGCTCCCAGGTGAGACGGGCAGGGCGGTCATGGGAGGGACGTGGGAGCTCATGCCCGACCTTGCCTTTGGGTCT